TGGCTGTCCACCAACGTTTACCATCCAACCTGACAGAACTGGAGAGGATCTGCAAGGAGGAATGGCAGAGGATCCCCAAATCCAGGTGTGAAAAACTTGTTGCATCGTTCCCAAAAAGACTCATGGCTGTATTAGATCAAAAGGGTGCTTCTACTAAATACTGAGCAAAGGGTCTGAATACTTAGGACCATGTGATATTTCAGTTTTTCTTTTTTAATAAATCTGCAAAAATGTCAACAATTCTGTGTTTTTCTGTCAATATGGGGTGCTGTGTGTACATTAATGAGGAAAAAATGAACTTAAATGATTTTAGCAAATGGCTGCAATATAACAAAGAGTGAAAATTTTAAGGGGGTCTGAATACTTTCCGTACCCACTGTATATATATATATATATATATATATATATATATATATATATATATATATAAATAAAACACAAAAATAATAAACATTTAATGTGTGTATATATACACACAAAACAAATAAAATACATGTATATAATCAAAATAAATAAAATATTATTATTATTTTTATGGCAACACTTTACAATAAGGTCTCGTTTGTTGACATTGGTTAGTCCATTAACTAACATGAACATATACAACATATTTTACAGCATTTATGAACCTTTATGTTAGTTAATAAAAATGTTCACAGTCCATTATCTAATGTTAGCAGATAAGTTACGAAGTTTGATTTTGGTAATGTGCTAGTAAATGTTGAACTTACCATTAATAAATAAATAAATTCTGTGCAAGTATTGTTTATGCTAACTAATGTTTATAGTAAAGTGTTACTATTTTTATTTATTTATTTATTTTTACTTAATTTCATTGCAAGGACTTCAAAGAATGTCATCTAAAGACATGCTATTACTGTGTTATTATTTTACCATGTAAATACCATAGTTTGAGAATATATTGAATCAGTTACTATGGTACAATAGGTAATACCATGGTACTTTTGGGTAAGTGCCTCAACCTGTTATTTCTTATTGCGTTGCTGGTTTTAATGATAAGCAATAAGTAATAAATGAACATATTATGACATATTAAGTAATGTGCATGGAGCCAGATCTCTGAAAGTCCAGCTAACGTTACCTTGCGGACTGACTCTGTCGACCCTCCGTCCTCAGCAGTTATATCCTCATCTGATCCAGAGTCACACATCATAAACTCACCTTTATTACTGTACTTTTACTGTACTGTAATAACACCTGCACTCACAATAGCGCTCGCATGTTATCAAACTGCGCTAAATCCGTTAAACGCTGCTATCCGAACACGAACTAACGGCTATTTTACACTCGCTGGACACGGGTTTTAACTATATATGTGTCTAAACGCATCTCCATAACTCCATAATGTGATTTTTAAAGAATATAATTCACTCAAAATAAGTAAATCCACTTGTACGCTGCACGAGCATCTCTCGCGCTCTCGCGTTGCGTCCTTGGGGTTCAGCCAATAGAATCGCGTTGCTTCTGACTGACACACGCGGTAGCCAATCACAGCTCGAGAAAAACAACGGATTGACGGAGGGAACGTCCAATGAGGTGACGGTGATGGGAATAAAGGCGATTTGGAGCGGAAAAATAACTGTTGCCCCTGACAACACGGAGGCATCAGCGAGTAAACAATAAAGACGGCGGTTGTGTTTATCTGAACATTCATTGAATTGTTTTTAAAATCTTTCAAAGCAGCCGTAGTTACACATTCATCCGTTTACAAACCCGAACTCGATATAAAACTTTAAATATTCACACATTACGATATGATAGTTTTTTTTTGTAGCTAACTAAATCTAAAAACCATAAATACCATTTGTCACTAGAAGGAAAATAAGATTTTTTTATTTTATTTTATTTTATTTCAGTTACATAACTATACATAGGCCTAACTATATAGACATTTAAAATACTAATAAAACACACAACAAAATTAAAATAATAAAATAATAATAATAACACTCATATGAACAACAAACAAAGCCGGTTACCTTTTTTAATTAAATTAGATTTACTATGCAAATTGATATACTAAAAATGTACTATTTCTTTACTTATTTATTTACTAAAACTAAGCATACTAGATTTTTTTTCCTTTTACTAATTGTTTTATTTTTATATTTTAAATATAAAAAATACTTATTTTTATTTACTTTTTCCTTTAAAAAAAATATTTTAAATTATAAAAAATACTTGTATTTTTATTTCCTTTTACTAATTGTTTTATTTTTATATTTTAAATATAAAAAATACTTGTATTTTTATTTCCTTTTACTAATTGTTTTATTTTTATATTTTAAATATAAAAAAACTACTTTTATTTTTATTTCCTTTTACTAATGGTTTTATTTTTATATTTTAAATATTTAAAAAAAATACTTTAAGGTAGATCACATTACAATTAGGATTATGGGACAAAACACATTCATGAATCACTTTTGTACATAAAAGCTTTATTATGTTGTAAAACAAACAGTAAATAATCATTTTCATTACATCATCACTTATTTTATTAGTTAATCTTAAAATGAACCAATGCCATATTCAAAATAACTTAATGCTATTGGACCACAACAAGCAGCATTGCTGAATTTGTTATTAGGACATTTTTTTAAAGGGAAAAGGGGATTTTAATGCATCTTTTCCTTTAGATGTAATGCTTCTGACTTTGGTCTGTGCTCCATGTTTCGGCTCGGCTTCAGTTCGACAGCAGGAAGTTGCTGCCTTTACTGTTTCCTTTTGTGATATCAGACACCAGGGAGTGCAGCCGCTCTGATAAAGCCACCTTTAAGACAATGTTAAGAAACACACTTTCAGTCTGCAGATGTCATGTATTCCAGTTGCTGATATCGTGAACTCACGGTGTAATCGTGTGGCTCTTGTAGTCTCTTGTGAAGTGGATGCAGCGTTTGCAGAGAAATCTGTGCACGCTCACGACTCTCTGACGCACTGTTTAGGGGGAATGTGATCTGTGCACGCAATCAACACAAATCTCAATTAGATTCTGTACGAAAAAGCAATGAAATATACATTTTTCTGTTCAATTTAAAGAAATAGTTCACCCAAAAATGAAAATTTTATTAATATTTACTCATCCTCAGATCATCCAAGATTAGGATGAGTTTGTGTCTTCATCAGGTTTGGAGAAATGCAGCACTGCATCAGTGTCTCAGCAATGGATGCTCTGCAGTGAATGGGTGCCGTCAGAATGAGAGTCCAAACAGCTGATAAAAACATCACAATAATCCACAGCACTCCAGTCCATCAGTTAATGTCTTTATTATGGACTCATATTTTATGGACTCATATTTTAGCCAAAAGCAACAGTTTAATGTTAAAATGTCTTAATGCTGGATTAGTTTCAGCTTTTATCTTCTCCAGATGTTAACTGACGGACTGGAGTGCTGTGGATTACTTGTGGATTATTGTGCTGTTTTTATCAGCTGTTTGGACTCTCATTCTGACGGCACCCATTCACTGCAGAGCATCCATTGCTGAGACACTGATGCAGTGCTGCATTTCTCCAAATCTGATGAAGACACAAACTCATCAACATCTTGGATGGCCTGCAGGGTGAGGACATTTCCTTACATTTCATTACTTGTCCAATGGCTGATATTGGCAGTGTTTACCTGTCCACAGGTGAAGACATCCAAACGCAGACTGGTTACTTGAGCCGGTGTGACCGTTTGAAGCGTCTCGTTCAGTCCCAGAGGGAAGCAGGTCAGGGAGACGCCCGCTTTAGGAGCTGCTTCTTCTGACAAACAGATCAGATCCATCTGCGGATGACCTGCCAAACAGACGTTCATATGAACTCAATTCAGCTCATGGTGCTGCCAAACGTGGATCCTGTGAAAGGTGCACTAAGCTCTTTTTTTCACACATAATCGTTTTAGCATGTCTAAAATATGGCTGAGGAATATAGCTAAAAAAATACTGTTTAATATAGATGTCAATGCCTTTAATGGGACTTTTTTTTATTATATTAATTTCCATACTTTTTTTTTTCAGACCAATGGATTTAAATTAGAAAATGTCCTCATATCCCCTGATGCTTCCCCATTACTTTGGCTAGATAAGAAAAATAAGCGTTTTTGCAACATTTTATAATATTCTATCTATCGTCTAGAAATAGTCTATATTGTCTTGAAATATTGATATATTTCTGCCTTTTTCGCAATACTCTCGCTCTGTGTTTGTTTATATATAAAATTAAAGCAATATTTTAAGACAATATAACTAGAAAAATTAGATGGATAAATATTAATCTTTTTCAGCCTTTTTATAATACATACAATATTGTAGAATATTGTAAAAAGGCTGAACAAATCTATAAATATACAGTATATATACAGTGGGGCAAAAAAGTATTTAGTCAGCCACCAATTGTGCAAGTTCTCCCATATATATATATATATATATATATATATATATATATATATATATATATATATATATATATATATATATATATATATATACACTTTTTATATATATAAAGTATATATATTTATGTAAATATTTATATATTTAATCTGAAATGCTTTTTTAAGAAACAAAATAAAATGCACATTGAAATCATCACAATATTCACACTGTTGGTTAATTTTATGTAGCATTATCACAAAAAATATTGTGAATATTTGCTATAAGGTTGAATTTGTATTACAAATCATGAGAAAAGCAGAAAGTAATTAATAAAAGGGTGATTATAAACGGGTAAATACGGACCGTCTGCGTCCAGAAGCCTATAGACAGACTTGCGTCCCGGCAGTGTGCTTTTCTCTGGATCTTCACTCATCTTCATTCGGGGACGACCTCTGACCTCTATCAGCTACAGTGAGTGAGTAATACAACCATCAGCATGTATTAATTAAAGCACTATGTGTGAAATGTAATGCTGGGAAACCTTATATACCTTATATACACATCCCAGAGAGGGCTGACGCGTGCATGTGACCAGATGAGTCCCCACTCCAACCACGTCAATCTCATTATCCTGACACAGACAAACAGGTGATGCATGTCTAGATTGCTGTGTTTAATGTATCTGATGTGAAGAGCTCTTACTTTCTTGTTGAGTTCAGCGAGACTCTGTTCTGAAATACTGTTTGTGCCGACGATGATGAGAGACTCAAACTGAGGAACTGAGAACCTGCAGACAAACACAGAATAAAATAGATTTGAGTGATTGCATGCTGAAGTTGAACACTTTTACACTATTTTAGTATGAGTTTAGTATTGATATAATATTATAGGTCTGATTTAAAATAGATTTTATTTTCTGTTTTCATTTTAGTTTTTGTAATTTTTTTTAAGTATGTCTATATTGTTTTTATTAAGTTTTAATTTATAGCTTTATTTAATTTACTTTTAGTAATTTTAGTGTTTCAACAAACTAAATGAGAACTACAACAGTTGCCTTTGCAACTAGCTGAAAAAAGTCTTTATATATAGCTGAAAGTTTATGTAATAAAAATGTTTCTATGGTTTTCATTTTAGTTAACGATAATAACCCTGGAAAAACTGAAACTAAACCTATTAAATATAATTTTCTGTAATTGAAATGAAGCTGAAATGAAATAAAATAGAAGGATTAGATGAAAAACATAAACCTAAATGAAATGTTGCCTTGGCAACTAACAGAAATAAGCTTTAAGGCTAAATAGAAATATTAAACAAAGCTAATAAAAACAACAAAATTACTTCAACACCAAAATTAAACAAAAAAATATAAAAATACATATTAAATAATAATAAAAGTACACATTCTGTTGTATTTTTATTTTTATAATTGTTTTTCCTTTTTAATAAAGTATAATATAAAAATAAAAAGTATAAGACTACATTTCTATTTTAAGTTAATTTTTTAAAATCACACAGATCAGTCGCTCCAGTTCCAAACAGTTAAAATGACAAATAAATGCATACTCTGAAAGCGCTCCACAAGACATGTGATTATATTACTGGATGCTCGAAATTGAACGGGAGAATGCATGTTTTAAACAGTTGCACAGGTAAGTTAATCACCGTTCTAATCTAATGCCTGCTGCACTGTAACACACACACATAGGCTACAGACAGACCGTAGCACGTGCATCTCGTGCAGAGCACACAAAATAATTAAAAATAAATCCCACAGCTTCACTAGTAGAGAGACTCTGCCAGGTAGAATTCATTCACACACGCAATCGCTCTCACTAATGCATTTATATGAATGTAATCTTTACTGTGCTACTTTATCTGTATCTGATTTAGAACGAGCAGAAATCTATCTTAAGACAAAAAAAAAATCTTAAGACAAAAGAACTGATAAAAATGAGCTGTTATAGCCATGTGGGCAGCACTGTGTCATATGCCACAAGGCTGATCAGAAGAAATGGACAGCCCCTGAGTTAAATATATGAGTGTCACAGCAAAGGGTCTGAATACTTAGGACCATGTGATATTTCAGTTTTTCTTTTTTAATAAATCTGCAAAAATGTCAACAATTCTGTGTTTTTCTGTCAATATGGGGTGCTGTGTGTACATTAATGAGGAAAAAAAATTAACTTAAATTATTTTAGCAAATGGCTGCAATATAACAAAGAGTGAAAAATTTAAGGGGGTCTGAATACTTTCCGTACCCACTGTATATATATATATATCAGAGGTTGGCATAAATGCCAGTGTAATAATGTTGTGTTATTAGAGGTAGTAGTCTGAAGGAAGTGTCTCACTGTTTGCTACATTCTTTGAAGACGTGCCGCACTTCCAGCGACTGCTTGCAGATGTCCCCGCTGTCCAGCCTGACGCCCAGCGGCCGGTACTGCAGCTCATACAGAGCCAGAGCCACGGCACAGAAGCACAGCAGACCGCTGCTGCAGCAAAAACATCAGTCAAAAACATCACAGCACACCACACTACTGAATGATCACGTGTCTTACCAGCTGACGCTGTAGCTGTCAATCACGGGCAGGAAGTTTTGTGGGTAGGCGATGGCGTAGGACAGGAAGGCCGCCAGCTCTCCCTCCCGAACGAGGCTCGTCTTTGACCCCAATAGCTGACAGACACGACCCAGCCAACCCTTCACCAGACAGATGAAGTCAATAGGGCCGCCGCCGCCGCAGGGCACCAGAGTCTGCCATCACAAATCAACACACATGCTTTATCGTTAAAGGTCAGTAAAAGAAATTAATACTTTTATTCATTTCAACTGATCAAAAGTGACAGTAAAGACATTTACAATGTTACAGAAGATTTCTATTTCAAATAAATGCTGTTCTTTTGAACTTTCTATTCATCAAATTATCCTTAAAAATAAAATGCATCACGGTTTCCACAAATATATGAAGCGGCACAACTGTTTTCAACATTGATAATAATCAGAAAGGTTTCTCGAGCAGCAGATCAGCATATTATACTGATTTCTGAAGATCACGTGACACTGAAGACTGGAGTAATGATGCTGAAAATTCAGCTGCGCATCACAGAAATACATTACAGTTTAACAGATACTCACATAGAAAACAGATATTTTAAATTTTGTAATGTATTTTTAAACAAATAAATACAGCCTTGGTGAGCAGAAGAGACTTCTTTCAAAAACATTTTAAAAATCTTAATTATTCCAAACTTTTGAGTGGTGTGTGTATAGAATATTGCAAAAAAGGATGAAAAAGATTAATTTCAATCAATCTCAATTTTGAGCTATATTGTCTAGAAATTGTGTCTATATCATCTTGAAATACTGATATTTTTCACATATTTTTAATATATATTCTCAGTGTGTGTGTGTGAGAAAAAAATTATCTATATATACACAAAAGATCTATATATATGTTTGTATGTATGGATGGATAGATAGATATTTATATGTATATTATATATAGCACTCTCTATTCTTATTAGACTTGCACTCTATTTATTTACTAACTGCTTGTTTTCTTAAAAAAAATAAAAAAAGCTAACACTTGCTTCTCTAATATTTTTGTATTCTATTTGTTTTCTTTTTATTTATTATACAGTTAACAATAGCAAAAAAGGCCTCTAACACTAGCTTGCTCTATTCTTTGTTTTCTTTTTATTTATTATATGATTTGTTTTTGAAACTTGCTACGTGTACTACATTAAGCTAACTGAGACTTGTTATAGCACTTGTGTATCACTGCTCTCTTGTTGATTTTGACTGCTTCTGTTGTCCTCATTTGTAAGTCGCTTTGGATAAAAGCATCTGCTAAATGACTAAATGTAAATATTATTGCTGTCAAAGAGAATAATCACGATTAATTGCATCCCAAATACATAAAGATATACATAACAAAATAAAATAAATAAATATATATTTATATACACACACACACACACACACACACAGTACACACACACATATATTATGTAAACACAAACTTTGGGTGTGATTAATCGCGTGTGATTATTATACATTAGATATTTGTTAGATATTAGATTTTTGGAATAATTAAGATTTATGTGTGTTAAAAAAATTATGTATATTACCGACCCCAAACGTTTTAACAGTAGTGTGTGTATATGTATATATATATATATATAAAAATTATAATTGCAAATTGATTCCAAACTGAACAAACCACTGAAATATTCGGGTTCATTCAGTGAAACGCCCACCTGTGGCCACACCTCCTCCAGAGAGGAAAAGGAAGTGACATAAGAGTGCGCCATGGTTCCCGCCACAGGAATGCCAAACAGACGGCCGGCGAGAGCGTTACTCGTCAAATCAAAACCTGGAAAAACAATCAGCAGTAGCCGTTCACATGATGCTTACTCAAAGAGAATAGTCCATATGACTGTCATTCAGCAGGACTTCAGTGGACTCGTCATTCCACATTCACTCACCACCAATGTATGTGTATCGAGAGGCAGTCAGGCCTCCGTCAGGACCCTGAGCTCTTCTGAGCCCCATCTCCATTAATCTGCGTCTGGGACCTGCAGCCAAACGGAAACGAGCAGCGTTGCTACACACCAGACTGAGAGGAGAGAGACTTCATGAGCACACAGTCGTTACGCAGCCAGCCGCGACAAAAACTACAGATTCTGGAGCCGGAGTCCTAATCGTTTTTAAAACCAATAAAGCACAAATCCCATTTCTAGAGTGAGACCTATTAGACATTTTGATACAGTCTGCTGAATTGATGTTCACTGTAGTAAAATAGTTTCAGTTACTTTATAAAATAAGAAACATTTATTAAAATGAATGTAAATAACCAAAAACAAAACAGTAATGGGGCTGTTCCACAACATGATGAGAAAACAAGTAAATCATCTTATTTTCTCTACGCAAATTGAGATGTTGACTGGAATCATCAACTTTAATAATTCAGCCTTGTTACCAAAGTTACTATAAGAAAAATAATAACAAATAATACCAATAATAATAAATATACAGTCTATATACAGTAGTTATATATTAACTGCAAAACCATAAAAAAATTGGTACTTGACAAATTAAATATTATCTTTAAAAACACTTTTTTAAAATTTACTCCATTTATTGTAACATTTCTCATGTTCATTTAACAAACCTTGCTAAAAAAAAAAAAACTATACATTAAAAAAACATTTACTAAAATGACAAAAACAATATTACTACATTTAACTAAATGAACTAAGATTAAATTCAAATCAGAAAATACTAGTTCAAATTATTTTTTAAAACTAAAGTAGTATCTCAGTTATACTAAAATAACACTGACTCTGTATTTTTTTAATATAGCTCTATTTTTTGTTTAATTTTTAATGCTAACAAGTCACACACTTCTTGGTTCTTCTGAAATCATATAAATATTAGGTTTGACTTCCTGAGGTGGATGAATAACACTGTTTTGAACATTAAGCACTTCCCTCTGCAAAAATGTAACATTTCAAGGCTTATTTTGACCCTGTTCATGTTGCCAGGTGATTTTAAACCAGCATACTGTCATATAATCGGTTTTTAAAGGCACCACTGCATTCAAGAAACTAATGAATGAATGTGCTTTAACAGAATGCTGTATTTACCTGGCGTAGTTGACCAGGCAGAGCAGACTGGTCTCCAGCAGCTGAACCACGGCCAGCGGTCCAGACACTTCCAGCAGAGGAACCTGAACACATGAACAGCAGTGTGAACACTGGAGCTCTGGCAGCAGCAGATCAGATTACAGCTGACCTTTGAATGGCTCACATACTCGAGCGAAGACCACGGACCCCTCAGGTACCGCTGACACAGACACAGACGAACAGTCCAGCTCCTTCAGATATGAGAAGAACGCAGCATCTGTGCCTGCTGGGAGAACGGAGCGCAGATACTCCACATCTGAAGCACACAAGATGATGAAGAGCTTAGTAAATAATACAGACAGAATCTACAGGATGCACAGGACAGAAGCAGAGTAAGAACTACTTCCTTTGCATGCATGCATCATGTTACAATCAGTCTTGGGGAAAGTTACTTTTAAAAGTAATGCATTACAATATTGCTTTACTCCATAAAAAAGTAACTAATTACGTTACTTAGTTACTTTTTATGGAAAGTAATGCATTACATTATCGTTACTTTTTAAATCTGGGCAGAGCTTGCTTGTTTGTTTTTAATATAAAAAAAATTATTTTTTGCAAATGTAAAACTGAATCTGTTTTTTTTGCAAGTGAGATGAATTAATGCATGTTCACATTTATTCTATAACTACAGTAACATCTTACTCCTGATTTCTCTCAACGTGGGGACAGGAGAGCTGTCAATCAATAAATGTGTGTTTTTTGCAAGTGAGATGAATTAATGCATGTTCACATTTATTCTATAACTACAGTAACATCTTACTCCTGATTTCTCTCAACGTGGGGACAGGAGAGCTGTCAATCAATAAATGTGTGTGGGGGGGGGGGGAACTGGAGTTACTTATTTGAAAAAGTAACTTAGATATTTTCTTGTAAATTAAAAAGTAATGCATTACTTTACTAGTTACTTGAAAAAAGGTGCAACATGCAACTACTGACAGATGGCGTCAGACTAAGACATGCATGTAAAGAAACAAGTGCATACTCTTGGTGGGTGTGTTTATCATTAAATCATTAACTAACACATGCATACATTTCTGTCATAGTCTAACTAGAAAACAGTGTCTCAAAACCAAGTGAGCCTAACTAGACAGCATCTTGGCATCACAGAAGTGCCCAAATATGCTGCAAAACAAGTAAACCCAAAATACTGTCCGAGTAGGGAGCTCATGTGCTTTTGAGACACGGTCAAAAATGCTGTCTAGTTAGGCAGTATTCGGTCTACGCAGTCAGATCACCAAAAATGCTGTCTATGTGGACAGCATACTAGGCGTTGAGATGCATGACCAAAAAAGCTGTTCAGGTTGGGATCTCTCTTGGTTTTAATACATATGCCCAACAAATGCCGTCTAGTTAGGCAGCATACTAGGTTTAGTGATGCATGACCAAAAAATGTCTAGTTGGTCAGATTATAAGTTGAGACAGTTCAATCAACGCAATCAGAATAAAAGGTTTTGAGACAGTTACTAAAAGTTGTCTATGTAGACAGCATACTAGGATTTGAGATGCATGACCAAACATGCTATATAGGTATAGCTAACTAGGTTTTAAGACACATGCCCAACAAATGCTCTCTACTTAAGCAGCAATCTAAGTGTTGAGATGCATGAGCAAAAAAGCTATTTGGTTAGGGTGCTCACTTGGTTTTAAGACATATACCTAACAAATACAATCCATTTAGGAAGCATAGTAGGTTTTGAGATGCATGCTGATAAAAGCTGTTTAGGTAGCCTGTTCACAAGGTTATAAGACCAATGTCAGGTAGGGAGCTTATTTGGATTTAAGACACATGGCTAACAAGGTAGGTAGTTCACTAGATTTCAAGACGTGTCAGAAGATGCTATCTAGTCAAGTAGCATAATAGGTTTGAGATGCATGCCTAAAAAAAGCTGTTTGTGTAGAGTGACTGATTGATTTTAAGGCATATGCTCAACAAATGCTGTCCAGGTAGACAGCAAACTAGGTTTAGTGATGCATGACCAAGGGTAGTCTGTTCACTAGGTTTTAAGATATAAAAATGGTGCCCAGTTAGGCAGCATACCAGGGTAGATATGCATGCCCAAAAAAGCTGTTTAGATAGTTCACTAGGTTTTAAGACATGACCAACAAATGCTGTCCAGTTAGGGAGCATACTTGGTTTTTGAGATGCATGACCAAATAATAGTTTGGACAGCATACTAGGCGTTGAGATGCACGATCAAAAAAGCTGTTTGGGTTGGGATCTCTCTTGGTTTTAATACATATGCCCGACAAATTGCGTCTAGTTAGGCAGCATACTAGGTTTAGTGATGCATGACCAAAAACTGTCTAGTTGGTCAGATTATAAGTTTTTGAGACATAAGTTCAATGTAGACAGCCTACTAGGTGATGAGATGCATGGGTAGAGTGCTCACTTGGCTTTGAAGGCATATGCCCAAGAAATGCTGTCTAGTTAGGCAGTGCACTAGGTTTAGTGATGCATGCTCTAAAATTCAGTCTATGCATTGTTTTGACAAGTACCTAAATCTACATAGGCAGGATACTAGGTTTAGTAATGCATTTACAAAAATTCAGCCTGTTTAGTCAGATCACAAGGTTTTGGGACAGCTGTCAAAAGGTGTCTATGTAGACAGCATACTAGGTTTTGAGATGCATGAGCAGATGAGCTACTTTAGTGGGGAGCTTATTTGGTTTTAAGACACATGCCTAACAAATGAGGTCTAATTAGGCAACATGAACATACTGAGTTTTGAGATTCATGCTGAAAAAGCTGTTTAGTCAGTTTACTAGGTTTTAAGGCATATGCCCAAAAAATGCTGTGTAGTTAGGCAGCGTAATATGTTTAGTGATGCATGCCCAAAAGTTCAATCAACGCAATCAGAATAAAAGGTTTTGAGACCGTTTCTAAAAGTTGCCTATGTAGACAGCATACTAGGATTTGAGATGCATGACCAAACATGCTATATAGGGAGCTAACTAGGTTTTAAGACACATGCCCAACAAATGCTGTCTAGTTAGGCAGCATATTAAGTTTTGAGATGCAAGACCAAAGAAAGCTGTTTGGGTAGAGTGCTCACTTGGACTAAATTAAGTGATGCATGGCCAAAAATGTTGTCTGCTTAATCAGATCACAAGGATTTGAGACATTTGTCAAAAGCTGTCTACATAGACAGCATACTAGGTTTTGAAATGCATTCTCCAAAAAGCTGTTAAGGGAGTCAGTTCACTAGGTTTTAAGACATATGACCAACAAATGCTGTCCAGTTAGGGAGCTGGAGCATACTAGGTTTTTGAGATGCATGACCAAAAGAAATACTTGGGTGGGGAGCTTACTTGGTTTTAATATATGTGCCTAACAAATGCTGTCTAGTAGGCAGCATATTAAGTTTTGAGATGAGTAGGGTGCTCACTTGGACTAAATTAAGTGATGCATGGCCAACAATTTTGTCTGCTTAATCAGATCACAAGGATTTGAGACAGTTGTCAAAAGCTGTCTACATAGACAGCATACTAGGTTTTGAAATGCATTCTCAAAAAAGCTGTTTGGGTAGTCAGTTCACTTGGTTTTTAGACATATACCAAATTATGTCTAGTTAGGCAGCATACTAAGTATTGAGGTGCATGCTCAAAAATGCTATATACACATTCTTAGTAGGCGAGCTACTAAAGTTATGTCACAAGTACACAGTGCACACACTCACCGTCATCTGAGAAAGTGAAGTTCTGCAGGAACAGCAAACAGTCGCTGAGACCCGCAAAGAGTGAGAAGCCTCCGCCGAACGGGTTATCGCGGAAAAACAGCTCGAACACGGCCGGCTCGTTGTGTCTGCCCGCGCGCCAGTACGCGTACGCCATGGTGAACTGGTACAGATCCGTGAGTAACGGAGGAACCCGGTTGAGCACGGGGCGCGCTTCATTTCCCTCACATGTCGCCATTTTCCGGTTCAGTTCATCAGGTTGTTGTCGTTCCCTGTTAAGTTTCCTTCAGTGCCTGTCTTGTCCCCCCATGCTCACGTGTAACCGGGTGACCCTTTACACAGTTACACGACTCGTGCTAGTATGCAGTCTCCGCCCTACTACTCTCGTGCGTACTTCAATCACTGTGTTTGTAAACTGGTGAGAGCTTTAACACTCTGACTAAATGACCTTGCTGATACCAGCTCCTCAGACTGGAAATCAAATTAAATTGCACTCCAGGAATTGGAACACTGCCGAAGTATTAATTAACTAACTTAAATTTATACTGTAATTGGCTACTCTGGCTCAACTATAGTCGTTTTGAACTTTCCATATTTTATTAAATTAAATCCCAAACGTATTGGTTAAATGAAGCCAATAGGTAAAGAAACGTGGAGATTGGATAAAAAAATTAATGATGAAAAAAAAATTGATTTAAATGTTTTCTGCCTTCTCTCGGATTTTCTTCAAGGAGCCTTGCATCGCTCTGGCAAATGTTTTGCGTTCTTCCGAGAACTTTGTATTTGCTCTCAAATAGTTTCGGTTCTGTTGAAAAAAATGTTTACAGTCCCCCGAGAAACTTATCATTCGCTCTCAAGTTTTCGTTCTTTTGCAAAAGTAGCCTATTGTGTAGTTTTGCGAGTGAAGGCAGATTCTCGAGGAAACGCAAAAGTTTTGCAATTGAACGCAAAAACATTGAAATATATATTTTTCCCACACTATAATATATAAAATAATCTAGTTTTTTTCCATCACCTAAAATATTTACTAGAAGACCCCTGGGTTAAGTAGCTAAAAGATTCATGAACCCGCTCCGAAGTTCGGTTAAGGCTAGAAGGGCTACTATGCGCACATCAATATAGTGTAATATTTGTCATGCTGAACACCAATAATTACAGTATTTGCATTATTGTAAGGGGTTGGTTTAGAGTTGGGGGTAGGTGTTGTAGACCAAAATGTAATGGGTAGAAAATGTAATTTAGCCTATTACATTACATTTAGTCATTTGCAGACGCTTTTATCCAAAGTGATTTACAAATGAGGATAATTGAAGCAATCAAAATCAACAAAATTGCAATATGCAAGTGCTATGACAAGTCTCAATGACAATTACGCTGTGACAATTTATTGTTGGTTTCCGGCCATAGCGTATGCCTTCTAGCCACAACCCCGAAGTTCCGATCTAAATCAAATGATTTGCGATACACACTCCGAAGTTCCGATCTAAATCAAATGATTTGTGAAGTTCCGATCTAAATCAAATGATTTGTGAAGTTCCGATCTAAATCAAATGATTTGTGAAGTTCCGATCTAAATCAAATGATTTGTGAAGTTCCGATCTAAATCAAATGATTTGTGAAGTTCCGATCTAAATCAAATGATTTGTGA